GGCTTCCCGCCCGCACTCGCGGCGCAGGGGCCTCTCAGGAGTGGGTGCTAACGCAGACCCTTAACAGGGATCCCTTAATGTGGCCCACCGCGGGCTGCGATCGTAATGCAGATGGGGATAGCAATTCTGCAGCATGAACTAGCACAGCCGGTTCAGAAAAGCAAAAACCAACCTTTAGTCAGATCCTTTTTACTCCCTTTTTATGCAAGCATATATGCTTACTGCTCTTGAAATTTAATTCAAACCCTTTCTGCAGAAGGGTCCCTTGGTCCATGTATCACCATATAGAGACAAAGAGGCTTTGGTTAGCAAACACACCAGACACTTCAGGCCTTTAGGGGCCACAAGAGCTGGTCTGGGACCTGTACTCACATCATTACTGAACTGAGAGAAAATTATTTTTTGCTCGGGAGTGTCAGGACAGCTCTGAACCCGTGAGTGACTCACCCTCAGGCAGCAGTGTTTAATTTCTGAGCCATTTATCTCCTTGCACACACCCCAGCACAAACAATTATAGTTAGTAATTTGTTGATCTTATCAAGGCTGTTTGATGTTACCATTGCTACCTCTAATAATGCTGTGCTTTGAGACTTAAACAGAATTTATAACCAGAGTCTGATACTTTGCACACACTTCCCATTGCAGAAAAGTTTAACTCTTTGGCAGCTCGGAGGCTTCATATGCAAAATTTTCAGGGAAACAACCACCACTTGCTCTGCTGACAAATTTGGTAACAAACTCCAGCCAGACTCTTCCTGGTGCTCCTTTCCTGGACCCATTTCCTAGGGACAACAGCCTTTCTAATGAGACCACATTGCCCTTTGAAATGAATTCCGGTGGGGCACAGTGCTGAGGTGACGGGCGCGCGCACGTTACCACACGACGGGCGCCGCGCGCCTCTGCCCAGCGGTCTGCGCCTGGCACCGCCTGTGGCAGCAGCCACCAACAACTGCTCAGACAACCTTGAAACACCAGATTTACCTTTAAAATGCTAAAGCCCAACGAGCACAGAGCCGTTTCCATCCGCTGCACCGCTACAATGAGCACCACGACTTTGATTTTTGTTTTTCAGAGCCTCCAATGGTTTTCCCGGTTTAATTGCAGTGAAATGATAGGATTAGCATAATCAAACACAAGGAATTAGCATTGGGAGAGTAAAAATTTAAACCACTGATTAGTTTTAAGCAATTAATATATTTTAATGATTTCTCGGTGAGCTGAGTTTGTGTGGAGGGGAGAAAAGTTAAAACTTCATTTTTTAATGGAAAGATCAGCCGGGCTGTCACCATTTTGAGGACACTGGCACTGTTTACCTCGCAGCCCCGAGCAGTCTCGCTCAGCGCTGAGCCCTCCGGCTGCAGCAAAGCCCAAGGCAGCTCTGCGAGCTCTGGCGGCCCCACAAGTGGCACGAAAGGCTGAGCGCAAGAGGCTGCTGAGGGGCCTCCTTGGGTCCTGCTCCCGGCCACCGGCTCCTCGTGGCGCTCAGTGAGGGCCGGGGCGGGACCAGGGCTCCCGACACCGGCATTTTGGCACTGGGCACTGGCTGAGGAGGGGCCTTAGCTGGGAGCCTGAAGCAGACAAGGAAGGGGCCTGCGGGAAAGATAAAGAAGTTAAAACAGTTATGCTACAGCCTCCAGGGGCTACATACAGGCAATGAAAGAGAAAAAATGGGGAATTGAGCCTGTATCATCATTCTTCTGTAAAACTTTATTAAAAATGCATTAGTAGGAAGTATATTAAATAGGTCATGCTCTTTACTGGTGTTTGATGCTGGCCTTTAAAGAAAGGTTTCTGCGGAGAGAACGTGAGAGAGGCTGTATCAGGACAGACATGGGCCCGTTAGTCCCTACCCTGTATTGGGACAGCGGCCGACACCTCAGAGCACCACATGAAATACAAACCACCTGCGTCATTTTCTCCAACTATTCCCTGATTTGTGACTCAAGGACTGTTCAAGCGCAGGGGTGATAATTTGTTTTTAATCATTTTTTTTCCACGGACTCTTTTATCCATGACTGTCCAAGCATCTCTGAACCCTTGCCAACCTTCAGCATCCCTACACCTTGCAGCACGAAGCGCACAGTGGACACCATGCAAACAGACAACATCTTTTTTCCTGTTTCGGCTTGCCACCGCACCTGTTTAAACACTGAATTTATGAATGAAACCCTTCATTCTTCTGGGGGATATCCTGAGTCTGTAACGGAGCTCAAATAGGCAGCTGAGAGATGACCAGATACATCCCATTGGCTCTTGTGTTACCCAAACGTTTGTTTCAAATTTCCAGTATTTTAGGCAGTCCTAGGAGCTTGTCACTGAGCAGCAAGCACCACCACTGTGCTTCACTTCAGGTATGGTACTGTGGAAACAATGTACTTTCCATTTTATTAAATATATTAAGCTAGATATTAAACCCTAGCCTACTCCCATCGCACTGTCCTGGTACATGTTGATCAGGACAGAAAATTACATCTTACCTGGGAGGAATCCCTGAGCAGAAGCAGTCCCAGACGTACATGGCGGTGCTGCTTTGTGCTTCTTAATGGTCCAAGACATCCTGTTTCGGAGTGCTCACACATAAAATGCCACCCATGCACTGCCAGCAAAGGAGAGCTGTAAGCCCATCCGCGCGTCCCCAGCAGGGATTTTGTTTGGTCAGGAAGGCACATGCACCGTCTGTCCCGCTCGCTGCCCCAGACACACACGCACACAGGAGCTTTGCTTGGCTTTGCAAACGCTTCCCTGGGTGACACGGACATGACAGCAGGTGCAAGACCGGCCCACAGCCAGGCCAGGCTGCACAAACCCCGCGAGCGCCGCACGGGCAGCCCGGGCTCCGCTGTGCGGCACCGACTGCTGCCGCCGCCCGCGTCTCTCACTTCGGGTCAGCCTGGAGGCCGGCTGTGGGCTCCCTGTTCCACGAACGTTGGTTTAGGTTATTCCCATAAATATGCCGTACATGTCATGGCTAATCGGCAGTGAGGAATAGCAGTGAAGAGGAGGAAGAAAAGAAGGAACAAATGCTGAAGGACTCCTCCTCCTCCTCCTCCTCCTTTTCCTCCTGCGCACAGTGCCCTCCTTTCCACACGTGGTACGAACCAAACTTCCCCGTCCTTCTCCACAGCAAGGACCAAACATGTCCTCCTCATTTGCCTTCCTCCTCCTCCTCCTCTGTCCCTAGGGTGAGACGGACCTGGGAAGCACCACAGACCTCACACTGTCCACAGCAGATGTGAGGAGGACACACAGGCTGCACCTTGATCCTTGCCCGAACTGAATCATATAGAGCACGTGCTCGGCCTAAGGTAAGTCGCAGTTCTACCTAAAACGGTGTGCTTGAAACTTGCTGCTTTTAGCTACAAATGTTTAGAATTTGCACATCTTAAATGCATCAAACCTCTGAAGAGAAAGACAGACATATTTAACATGGCAGTTGCCACAAGTCACCAGTGATAGGACTGACAGAGCTCATTAAATTATTCTCTTTTAATAAAACTTCTGTTTTTATTATTGAATAACCAATTAGCTTCAGCAGTTAAAAAGAGAATTAGTTAAAACAGCTGAAGAGCAAGGTAATAAACTGAAACATATTTATCGTGTTATAAAATAAATATTTTTTTAAAGACATGGAAAAAATTTAAAGTTCATTTTCTCTTTTCTGAATATTCAAAAACCCTGTCTATCAAAAGCAGCTTTGCTCAATTTTTAATTATTTTTATTTTTAGAACAGGCAGGTATGCTGAAGCACACACATTCAAATTTTAATTAGGCTTAATAAGCCATATTTGTTTAAAGATGTGACAATACAAAGCAACCCATTACCTGTACTGTCCCCCTTTCTAACAAGCTCCCCATCTATATGTACTAACCAGGGAGCACAGGGGTGTTTTGGAAGCCGGGCTGGGCGGAGGCCGAGCGCCGCAGTGAGCGGTGGGCGCTGCGGCGCCCCGTGAGCAGCAGGCGCGCGGCGCGTCGCGCCTCACAGCCCCGCGAGCCCCGCGGGCGCCGCCAGCGCCTTGCTGCCTTCCCAGAGGAACGCACTCGGCTTCCCTCTCAACTTCCAGACAAAGATTCGGTGGTCCGAGATAATGCCAAGAGCAAATACGGGTTGTACCAGGGAAATGACACAAAGGAGAAATTCAGGGTTTTCAAAGCAGATGAAGTCTAGATTTCCCTGCTTCCCAATATTCCCCCTCACCTGCCACTCTGGAAAAGGCACAGATCCTACCAACGAAACCCACGGTGATGAACTGAAGCTGCCACATCCCACTCTCCCAGAAAACAGCTCAAAGGCAGCGTTTCCCAAGGGAAGTCTCCAGGCAGGACCCAGCATCTCCAATGCAAAGGGGAGGCTGGACACGGAGGAGCTACGCTACCGAAGCTGATGACGAGCAAACTCGTCACAGGAGTGAACGATGCCGGAGGCCTGGCAGAGCAGCAGCCATGGGCAGCACCAGGGTCTCTCCCAGTGCCGGCCCTGTGAATCTGCACCCGCGTGGCCAGTGCAGAAAATAAACGGGCTGCCCAAACACCCTGTGCCACCTCCCCGGACTGAGCACCCGAGCCGGGAGGGCCACGCGCAACGCCAGGCGCTTCCGCTCCTGCCTCCACAATTCCGTCATTTCAAGACACAAAATACTTTTGAAAAATGATTTGCACAAAAAAGTGCCTCAGTCTCAACAGATAATGGGATTTTTCTACATATATTTGCTCTCTCCAGTAAAAATCATTTATGCTGTATCCTTTTTATTATCCTTACTATCATCTCTCAGTGAATGTCCATCTACAAATTCATTAACTTTTGGGGGACAAATCATTGGCATCCTAATCTTCCGATTCCCATGAAAGACTCACTTTCAAGACACAATTGCAGCTGCCCCACACTGCCAGTTACTGTATCATACACGTCTTAAAATTCTGTAATCAGCATCCACCAGGTGCCGTATCGCATTCAGCACACCACAGTCACTCAATACAGACATCCCCAAACACACCAAGGCTGGTTTTGTCAAATGTTTTATTGAGTGTAGACATCTGGAGTACTGTAAAACATGCATTATCTGTAGATTCAAAAAGGAGCAAGCCACATTGTCCTCACTGTCAAACGTGTCAGGCTTGGCATACATGATGGAGATTAATGAAGTATCATGAGAGTAATATGGTTCCTGAAAAGCTTCTACAATTTGGAGTAGGGTCTTAATCGTTTGAAATGCAAAGCTGTTCACATTTAGTGAACTTGTATGTTCGCTGGAGGTGCCATATTTTAATTCAAAACAAACAGGAATAATTTCACTGGGGTGGGGAGGGTTCCCTAGGTACAAACTGTATGTTTTTTTGTATCCAGATATTCCATCCCAAATAAAAATTCATATGCTTTTTGAAGCCACACAGTTCATTTTTGAGCAATGAACAACATCTGGCACTCATTTCTTCTTGGGTTGTTGAGGTGTATTAAATTTAAAGAAGATGATATCTCCATCCTCCACTATGTAATTTCTGCCTTGTTGTCTGTATTTTCCAGCAGCCTGCAAACAGAATGGACAGAGGGTGAGTAGGTTATTTCATTAGACATTTTAGAGCATTTCCAACTTGCAATTCTTTAAATATATTTTGGTAAGAAGAAAAATAGTACTACTTCAGCTTCAGAGTTAGACATTCATAATACTTCTCAATTTGACAAAAATTGGTTTTACATACTTATCAGACATATATAAAAATAATTTAATCTTCATTGAACTGGTGGAGCCTAAATACAATCAATCCCATATAGTGGTAAACCCAGTACCATTCTATAAACCCTGGCAAGTTGTAAGAAAAAGGAGACAACCAGCTCAAATATTTTTATTACAGCTTTTAGGCTATTTCTTACTCTAAAAGAAATAAAACCTTCAGATGATGAGCACTGGTGACAGGAATCTCAGAGCGTTGTGGAAAGGGCGATCTGTGACAGTGTGCAGCGCGGCTGCACGGTGCCCAGCTTGTGCATGGGCATCTCCCAGCTGCACCGCAAGTACTGTGGGAAAGCAAAGCTGGGAATGTTATGCAACATTATGTCACACTGGACACGTCTCGTGCTGCTCCCACCTACCTATTCACAGGCAGCGAAGGACGGGGCAGCACAGAACAGTCTCAATCCACCGCCCAGAAACTTCCTTTAGAATAAATTTGCCTCTGATAAGGCACCGAAAGAAGAGACGTCGTGGCAGCGAGGCCAGGCCGCAGGAGAAGCCCTGCAACCGATGGTGTAACAAGGCAATTTGCCCTGGAGACGCCGCGGCTGAGGAGGGCAGACAGCGGGCAGGGACGCGTCGCGTGCGGCGCTTCCCGTCCTCGCAGCGCTGCAGCTCGGCGCCACGGGACGCTTTTTGCTCAACCGGGGCCTGGTCCCAGCAGGCAGGGCAGGCTGACGGCGCCCAGCCGGCCTCGGCGCCCTCACAAAACCTGCTCTGTAAAGCGACATCTTCCCCACGCCGCTGTCCAGGAGCTGAGAGGCTCAATAATAACCTTGTTGCTGTCATTCCTAATCTAAAAGGTGTCATCGGTGATGCCAACTTAGAGCGAGCTTCGGACAGAACAGCCCATCCACAACCATTTAGTGCAACAGTAATTGACCTCCTCCCAGACGACACTATTAATAAATAATAAATAAGAGCTTACAAATGTCTTTTTTCCCCCGGAAATCTGTTTAGACTCTAAAAGGTTTGCTCTCAAGTAGTCTTAGTAGTTCTTTCCTTTGAAGATCCTAATAACGCTCAAAGTCAAGAGTAATTAGACTAATTGATGGCATAAGCACTAGTAAAACAGTGCTGTAAAAATCATCACCAAGTGTAAGCTGCAGGCACAGGTACACAACATTGTTCAGGCAAATACACATATTAGTCACAAAAATTTGCAGAAAAGACTGACCCCTGCAACGTAAAAATGTGGAACTTTTTAGCACACTATTGCCCACTGTTAAAGTATCATGAACCTCTCTAATTAAATACATTTTGATACACTAATGCAAGTTTATGTATTTTTGCTACCATTTTATAGTTAATTAAAAGTGACAGTGTTCCTTTAAATTCTCCAGAGACCATTTAATCCATTTCCATTGCTATCAGAAACACTGGTTGAAAAAATCAATACCCATTTGTGAATCTTGAGTATGTATTAAACAAGACACGTCTAACCAGTTCATTTGCACTTGAAAGCAGCCATCTGTAGAAGCCAGCTTTGCCTAAGCAGATATGATTGCTAATAATGTGATATCCCTGTAGACTACAAAGCCCACACAGAGCTATTCAGTGTAGAGTTCACAGCACTGGCATTAAATTAGTTATGCTGCACTGGTGTTAGACACACACAAAATCAAACTTAAAAATCGATCAACTTGATAACCTACAAAGCAAGCAACTCCCATTGCCACCGTACTGCGGTTGACTCCTAAACGCTCCCAAATTTAATTTTGGAATTTACTGGCAATATAAAAGTAGTTAGGATTGTGTATACCAGGAAACATTGTGTTAAGTGCAAATTAGAAAGGACTGGAGTAATATAATGCCCTTTTTTTTTTTTTTCTCTGAGAGGAAGGATTCTTTTTAAACCTTGATGTAAAAATTGTACAACAATTGCAAATATATTTCTTTAGATACCTCAAAATAAGGAAAACTGAGCCATTAAATCCATTAAATATAATTTGAAAAGGAAAGCTTGTTGCCTGGAATCTTAAACTGTGAAAATCGTATCAAAATACTCAAGCAAAATACTTACAGATCAATTTAATAGATATTAATCAGTGCCGCAGCCTCTCATGGGGAACACTCAGATTTGAATTTAAAAAACTATTGCTGACAAATTGGAATCTTGGTTAGACGAGGGGGTTTCTGACTACAGAATGTTACATTTATTTATAGGCGTGATTCTACTTTACAACTACAGCCCTACTTCCCTTTCCAGGAGCCAGTTCACATGCCGCAATGAACCAATTACACTGGGATTTTTCCCCCCACTTCCTGGGGTTCAAACAAACCTATTAAAGCCCCGCTGCTCAGTATGATCTTTCTTAGTGATACCACTGAGAATAAGCTCAGGCTCCAATCATAGTTTTGCATACCTTCCCTGCTATCAGATAGCAAATAAAGCTGAACCTTTAAAATTCTTTAACACCAGATAGCAGGGACCACCAAACACATGGAGGTGAATTAAATCAAATTAATGATCTTTGTAATTGCAATTTTTTTTTATAAAATACATATGAATATTAAAACACACCAAAAATACCAAATCAGAAGAACAATTTCCACCAAATGCATATGAAATAAAGGCAGATTTCCATATTTAAAGATGGAAATAATGCAATAGCAACACCACGTAGAACAGATTTTCTTACGACATTTATTTGCCATGTATAAATCTATTTCACATTTAATACCTCCATATCAGATCCAATTTATCAGCTTAAGAGGGGCACAACTTTGGGCATCCAATCAGTCTCTGCCCTCTAGTGTTGAGAAAGCAAATAAAACTCATCTTAATAGCAGCGTGACTACAAGAAAGTGTGAGCTCAAGAAAAAAGTTTTTCATTACTATTTAAAAATACAAGCTTTTCTTCACTACCTATTCAGCAGACAGTAGCTAGAAAACATCACCTACTGTAATAGGCTTTTTGGGACTAAATACAATCACTAGGAGCACCCCGAACACCCTGAAGGCACCGTATTTTTGCATAAGACATCACAGTGCAATTGAACTAAACTGAAAATGGTAACTTTTAAGATTCTAATTATACCTATTATAGTCTGAATGGAATAATGGAGTCCAATAGTCCTAATAAAAAATGGTATATTTTATAATAAAATGTTTTCTTATGCATTTGCATCAGACATCTGTAAAATATTCACTTCCACAACATGACACGTTGTTAGAAGAAAAATAAATTTCAGTGTTTCTTGCCATTTCTTAGAAGGTAATTTTAAAATCTACTATCTCATCTTAAAAAAAAAAAGATTTTTGAGAAGCAGGTTCATTTTAAACCCATTATTAAGATCCGAACACTAATATGTAAACACAGAAAATTCAAAATACAGCATTTGGTCTTAGATCATTTTGCCCATGAACTGTCTACTTTGATACTAAAATAGTGGCATCCTTGTTAATTAAGTTGCGGCATTTTAATTTTCTCCCAAATATAACATGACAATAGATCTTTGGTCTATTGCTAGAGGGGACTGTTACATTCACTTACCCTCAGGATCTCTTTTCCCATGAAAAACAGATTAGAAATGGAAAAATAGTATATATGGATAAAGGGAGAAGAAAATGATGGGGAGCTCACCTTGACAGCAGCTTCTGAACCTCCTTCTTTAAAATCTTCGTATTTCATTACTTCAGCCATAATGAAACCCTTTTCAAAATCCGTGTGAATCTTCCCTGCTGCCTGAGGCGCCTTCGTCCCTTTCTGTCAAAGGAAAGACCAGGAGAAAATTAATTGCATTTAAGAAGATTGATTGCGGGAGAGAAGTTTCTCCTTTCCGACGTGCTGAAAGTTTGTTTCGTATCAGCTGAAACGCCCGGCACGCGGCTGGGTAGTTCTGCACTGGGACACGGGCACGGCTGCCTCGGCCACACATAAACCAGCCGGTATTAAGGAGCAGCAGCTTTGTTTTTTCCTAATAGGTATCAACAGCAGTATTGATTTTAGAAGCGACAATTGTGTTTTGTTGTTGGATTCGCTTCGATCCTTAGCTCTTCACACAGAAAGTGAGGAAAATAAAGATTTTCAAATAACTTTATAAAAGCAGAATTATTCAAGACTTTTAGTTATGTCCAAATAAATTCTCTCTTCCTTTCAGTTACAGGATAACATTCACTGGCAATCCACATTTGTAACAAAAAATAATTTATGACTCTTAAGCCCTATATATATTAGCTAATCTTTATTTCAGAATAAATTCAGTAAAAACAAAATGAGTATTCTTGCCAAAATGTCAACAATTCAATACTTAAAATTTAAAAAAAAAATCACATGCAACTATTATAAGACAATTTACATTTATGCAGCAGAAGAGAATGTATTATCACTGCATGCCTTAAATTACAAGGGCATACATTCTGTGCACACACAACCATGGAAGGAGATTTGAGAAATAATGGTGACCTAAAGGCTGCTTAATAAAGCATGTTAAAGTGCTAAGGAGTCTGACACTGTAAAGCACAGTTTTTACAATAAAAGATGTATTGGGTTAATATGGCTACTCACTGATGCTTACCTGACTAAATATCTTTGCACATTAAATCAAAGATACTTACAATCAGTCTTAAGATAAACCAGCTTTCACATTTTCTAATAAAGAGCAAGCATTTCTCCTACTGAAAACACTGGAGTTTCAGGATATGCTCTCAAAAACTGCAGCAAAAATAAGACCCAAAACTGCTGCTTTCATGTTATTTTGGTAGCTATTTCAAGGACTCGAGCTAGGAGATATCCCTTTAAAGGAGATGGAGATGAAAAGGCAAAAAAAGAAGCCCCGAAAAGGCACATTTAGGAAAATAGGTTTAACGCACTGAAATATATACGTGAACATCTGTAGCCATATTAACTAAAAATACAGATTTACTGGAAATTATAGTGATTAATGAAAACAAATTAATTCCTTGGAAATTAAATTAAAATAGCACTGAAATACACTGCACAGCCCTAAATACACCGCTGCAGCAAATACAAGCTCCGTGACAGATCTGCACCTCCGGAAGTTGACATTTTTATAATTTATAAGATGGAACTATATACATTTCTAAATATTTTTCAATACTAATCTTTATATTATAATGTATTTACACTCAAAAGCAAACCACTAGAGCTCAGCTCTTACTGTCCTATGGGAATAAATTAGTCAATCTCCACAGCTGTAATCACTCCACATCAATATTTAAAATACATAACATAATTTTAGGCATCATGCAAGTTACCGGATAAGCATATAAAGCTACCAAAATAAGATAGGTCTAAAAATTAAAGCCAGTAAAAAGCCCTGAATTATTACACACTGATTTTAGGTTTTGGAGCCCAACTGTGTATCCATGAGGAGTATAATGATGTTATATTGCTTTTATTGCTGAAAATGTAATCCGAGCAAAGCAAAGGAGGAATGAACCACCCGCAACCCAAACAAACTTAGTGAATACAAAATGAAAAGCAACATCAATTTCACTGCAGACAAACCCAGTCACACAGATTAAGCAAGCACAATACTGGTACGTCTTATCTCTGACCACAGGAGGAGGGTAGACAGATTCTACAGGATGAAGAAATTCAGACTATGTAATAGGCAGAATCAATTGTTACCTGCCTCAATCAATGCAGCTCCACTTTCACTGTTCAGCAGCTCACAAATAATTAAAGTTATCCTGGACAAAAACCTCATCTGTAATGACTAGCTAACCGCCACCATGACAAACTTCAAAGTCAGTGATATCAATCTGAATTCAATAGTGTGGAACTGGATATAGCTGATGAATAAGTATGAATCTTACCCTGATGGTCCATGCACGCACTTCATCTGGGCCTGCAGTGAAAAAGTATTCTAGCTGGAGTGCCGCATAGCCAGCCTTAATGATCTTTGGTAAAGCACTGAAAAAAAAATGAATCCAATTCATTCAACACATACACAAAACCCAGCTAAACGCCTCGAGTCATCAATTTACATGGAAAAGCAACACATATTTTGAAGACATTGGATCTACTTTTACACACAGCGATAAACAGAGTCACCTTTTCTTTGAACTCTCTTCAGAATCACTTTTTTACTGCATCATCATAAAGACGGTACTTTCATTTGTTTGTTCGGCAGGATACAGAAATAGGGAGAAAAATTAAAAGGGCCCTATCAGGCAGCACTTTTAGTCTTGTACAATTTTCAAGACTTGAGGTCATCAAACTGCCTGACTGAAATTCAGTATTAAAACAATTTATTGCAGTTTTTAAAAAAATGATGGCAAAATTTTCTCCCCGATCCCTACTCCCCATGGATGACGAAAACAGTTTTGGTGATCATTCCTTCTCAAAAATATACATAACTAATACCTATGTTATAATTAAAACACTGTACAGAGATGACAGATGACAGTTAAAAACTTAATTTAAAATAAATCTTTTCACTCTGTCTCATGGTAAAGAAAGGAGAAGATTCTCTCTTTATAATGGTAATTACTCTGTCATTTATTATTCTATCAGCGCAAGCAATTAAATTACTGCAAGGAAA